GTCCACTAAGCTAAAAATTTTCGACTCATCAATTGAAGTGCTTTCATTAAACTCAGATGATGCCTGACATCTTTCAGCTAAGTCATCAAGTATTATATCATTTGTATCGACTTCCTCAAGTCTTTTTAAGACGTTGAAGCATCTTGGACGATCATCTGGAAATCAATAAATCAAATAAAAATTTAATAGTCTACATGTGTAATAATCAACTTGTGACTTTGAATTTGACATGAAAATTTTTTATGTATTACAAAATAATATATACAATGTAAAATGTTTTACTACAGGTATATAGTAGGACTGTTAATGGAGTAGCTTACTCCGGAGCACTCTGGAGTAGAACCCCACCCAAGTTGGAGTGGGTTTAAAATTATATCTTTAAATTTGGAGCAACCTGGAGCAACCCGGAGCAAACAATAGAGTAAGTCTAATTTAGTGAAGTGGGTTGAAGATTGGGTCAACCCAACCCAACCCAACCCATTAACAACCTTAGTATATAGCACTATTGCTTGGTATATATGTACTGCTGTCAATAAAATCAAGCAGGCTTCTCTAATCATCGGCCTCATTTCTTTTAATGGCAGCTATATCTCTGTAAATATTTACCGGATAACAAAATCTACATCCAAATAAGTTTCCGTAACAATCAGTATATATGAATGCATACCTGAAACAGCTTTCCAACAATCTTTATACACTTCCGAATATTTGACAGGGGTTCCGGAAACACACTTTTCTCTTCCACCTTCAACAATATGTTTTATCATTTGATCACACGACCATCTACATAAAAAATCCTTGAAAGGCTGATAGCCACTTGAAATCTGCCAAAATATGACTCCCAAACTATAAATATTGGATTTTTGAGAATATTTGCTATTGTCGACAGGATATTTCTGTATCAATAATTCGGGATCAATATATGGTATTTTTTCAAAATCATTATTCGATTTGAACATAGTAATGCACCCTAAGTTGGTTAATTTTAGAATGCTGTTACAA